CTCTGTAACAATATTTGCTTTACCCTTAAATGCTATCTTTAATTTGCCACATACAGCTGTTGGCAAGTTGCAGCATTGTAAGCTATTTACTTCCATTCACTTCAAATAAAGAGACCAGACTAGATCATAATAGTTCCTTCTGGCCTTAAAAATCTAGGAGCCACCTTAGGTTACTATGTTTAGAAGTACAGAAGCAACATTTGCAAGTATGATCTCCAATTTTGCGTGCCCAACTTAAATAATCAAGCTTCAGATTTCTTAGGAGGTGCTGAGTACCCTCAGCTACCCCTGACTTTAGTTGGAGTTATGTAGGGTTACCATACGTCCGTTTTTCCCCCGGACGTGTCCGGCTTTTTGGTACTCAAATCCCCGTCCGGGGGGAATTGCCAAAAAGCCGAACATGTCCGGGAAAGTGTTCTTGGGGGGAGAGCAGAGAGAGCAGCCGGCCCCGGGAGCTCGGGACAGAGCTGGGTGTGGCGCGGGGCTGGCGGGCTCTGTGCCTGGCCATCGTGCACAGGCTGAGAGCGCCGGGAGCAGCCCGCTGGGAAGGTGTTTAATCAGCCTGGCTGCAGCAGCCTCTGGGCAGCTGCGCACAGCCACAGCCTGCAAACGAGACCCCCCTGCCAGCCCCCGGGCTTACCTCCCGCTGCCTCTATCCCCCCCCATCCCCCAGGGCAGCTCGGAGACACGGTGGATGGGGCACAATTTTGCAAAGCTCAACTAAGTGTCTGCTGGGATGAGCCGGCGGTAACCCTTTGGCTGCCAGCACGGGCTGCAGTGAGCAAACCCAGCTGCACAGACCTATTGGCAGCTTGTGGCGCTTTCGAAAAGTGTTGGGAGCTATTCAACCAAGCCACAGCTCTGCCCTTTGCGTTTTCTTGTCATTTACCTGGGACATTGGCCAGCAGCACATGGGATCCTTGTTACTTAAGGCAAGGCTGACCCATGTGCTTAACTTTACATGTGTGAGTGGGCCCCCAATCTGAAGTTGAGTGGCTGTGCCAGGGTTTGCAGGATGAGAGTTCAAAGCAGGAGGCTGGAGAGGTGATCGCTGAAGGTTATAGTTTCGCTGGGGTGCTCAGTTCACCTGCATGCACTAAAATGACTAATAATCTAGCTTGTATTTGTTCATTTGGATTCAATCACATAAAAAA